ACCACGCTGAGCCTAATTCTACCACCTATAGCCTATTCCTACCACCTTGAGCCTAGTTCTACCACTTAGAGCTTAAATCTATCACGTTGAGCCTAACCATACCACGATGAGCCTAGTCCTAACACCTTAAGCCTAACCGTACCACCTAAAGCCTAGTTCTACCACCACTGACGAACCTTGATATCATGACTTCCATTCCTCGCTGTCCTAAAATTGAATCCCCTACAACATCATTGACAGACAGAGACACGGACCATCCCAAGGCTTTTGGCAAATTGTATCGATTAATAAATGCTTGCTAAATCCTTAATGAATTTTCTTTTCTCATCGATCTTTTCTGTAGTCGGATGTTCAAGTTTGCGGCCTGTGTAGTTAATGAATTAAATATTGATCCGACTTTAATCCCCGGGTACGTCCCCATCGCAAAGCTCTAGGGCGTCTTAATATGCTGGAGCACTCGCAATTACATATCTAGGCTAGCCTCGTTTTGTCCCGGGGGTTGTGTTCAAAGAGAGGGCTTCTACAGTGACCTTGTGTGATGGTCATTGTGTGTTGATGATTGGCCTGTTTGACCCTCATACACCATGCAGGCCACAATGGACCCAATAAGAACTTTTTTCGAAATTTCAATGCGTGTGTTCAGAAACCGGAGACGTAATATTAAAATTAAGTTACTCATTTGATAAGAAAAATATATCTAAAGAAAGGACAATCGGTTTTTATTGTGTAGAAGGTAGATATATATATATAGCCTATATATATATATATATATATATATATATATATATATATATATATATATATAGGCTATATATATATATATAGGCTATATATATATATATATATATATATATATATATATATATATATATATATATATATATATATATATATATATATATATATATATATATGTATATATATATATCTAATGTTTGGATGAAATTGAATTCTGATGAGAATTCAGTTTTTCTAGTGATGTTGATTTAGCACGTGTGACACAAACATTCAATCTCTGTGGGCCGTGAACATGCGAACACAGACCCCCACCCCACCCATATCCCCTCAACCCAGCCCCGAGTGAAGACCCCAACTTCTAATTACCCGCCTCTACACTTTCTCTCCATTCCGAAAAAAAAAATCTGTCCTCCGTCGCTTGAAATAAAAATGTGTGTCGCCCGTAGTGTGGACGCTGTGCGGGTGAGTATCGATTGGACGAAATGCTGGTGCGGGCCCGTTTGTCTTGCAACAATGACCACAAATAAGTAGGAACAAGTGTGACTTTTGGTGTCTGTATGACACGTGGACACGGGACTAGAACTTGTTCATCATTAATACATCGAGTTTTGTTGAAATCTTGCATTTAAGCAGGGAGATAACTCAAACTAGAGTCAGACTTGGCTAACATATGGTGTGTGTTGGCGTGATTGCATGAAATAACGAGGTCGCAGCATTGATCCTGCTCAGATCAAGGCGATGATTTATATGTGTTATTCAAGGATGGATCTGGCCATCTTGCGGATAATCGAATGTGGCCATTGTGCGGATAATTAAACCTTGGCCACCTTGTGTATCATACTTGGTCGTTGTGCTGATAATCTAAACTGGCCGGAGTGCTTGTAATTATAAACTCCCTAGTTTTGAGCTCGGCCTTAGTGCTTATAAAAAAAAAAAAAAAAAACATTCGGAATAACAGCCTACATTAAACTAAATAATTTAAACTGGCTTGCGATTGTTTTAAATTGTAAATAAAAGTATTCAAAAATAAACCGGGAGTGATCTCCCCTAAACTTTAAAAAAAAATAATTTAAACTGGCCTTAATGTTGATAAATAATTGGCCAATGCTCAAACTGGCCCGTCTTTAGACCATCTCGTTATTCCAGCGATATCGCGAACTTCGATGAAAAATGTATCTTAAAGGTCGCTCTCTCCCGTTACTAATGTAATACAACACTAACATTAGCTTCTACTGGTGTAATATAACACTAACTGTAGCTTCTACTGATGTTATATAACACTAACAGTAGCTTCTACGGTCGTAAATTTAAACTCGAGTTTTCAACAGTCCAAGAGTCTGCGGCGTCTCATGGTTACCATGGTAACTAAGTTTTAATGTGTAACATAGGTCGTACTTTAACGTTTTATTAACTTTTTAAAAATTTAAAAACAAATTTAAAAAACACACAAAATAGGCGATTAGTATTATATCATTTTGTTTAACATTTCTGGAACTTCAAAAATATTTTAAAACTTAAAACATAATTGACATTTTAAGATTCGGTGCCTTTGCCATTTGTATTTATTATTTACAAATTACAGGTGTCATATAACTTGTATGTTCAATGTATATGGCATATTAAATTACATTGTTATAAATCACTTGGCTGTTATGATGTGTCTCCTGTTACAGTATTATACGCGAGTTTAATTTTATTACATATATTGTTTTACACGGGAGTCACGTGTTCTGCTACGTCACCGGTTGTTGTATTTCCGGTCGTATTTCTAATGGGATTTTAGTTAAAATTTGGACTACAGATGGAATGGGGGGCTTTATAAACAGTTAAGACGGAACAAAATTTAAAAATCTGATGGCATATTTTTTTTCTTCTTCTTCGTTCTTAATTTTAGAGTTGGAAGTGATTCCCTCCAACACAATTAAGTATTACGTGTCAACTTGTCATACGCCATATATGGCGTTGACTCATATTTTAGCCTGGTTTTCTTTTTGGATTTGCTTCCATAGCCTTTGTCCAACTATGTACAAACTACAAGGCAGCGGTTGTTTGATTTTGGGGCTGGCTCTTATAGAAGAGTTGCTGTTGAGTCTCATCTATCCGGGGGGTTCGAACTCGAGTCTTTTCAGTTCAGCAACCATGATCTTTACCGACTCGACCACACCTACCACATGGCATGATTACTACGGCTTGTTTATTTTAACTGCTAGACTGGATACCGCCTTATAAACATTAGTCTAAACTTGATTACTATCCCAGCAGGATTGTTCTTTGTGATGACGTAATGTCTGTTGACACACGTCACGTCTGACCTGCTCTCAGTTTGCTGGTTATGGATGATTGCACACAGACAGAATGGCCTTGTATTTCTTCCCAGACTTTTTCTTTAAACAATGTTTTTTGTCGTTACATTATTAATTGACACATTAACACGTTAATTGGCATGAAGGGTTTTTCTAACATTTTGTTATGTAAACAAGAAGAAATCTAAATTTATTTCTGTAACTGTGATACGTTAACCAGCAGGACAACCGGTCTTTTCCGGCTAACTGACAAAGCAACAACTAAATAAACCGGCTGTTTCTTACATAACATTTAAATAAACTGGCTGTTTCTGACGTAGTATCAAGTTAACCGGCTGTTTCTGACAGAGTATCAAGTTAACCGACTGTTTCTGACATAGTATCAAGTTAACCGGCTGTTTCTGACATGGTATCAAGTTAACCGGCTGTTTCTAACATAGTATCAAGTTAACCGTCTGTTTCTGACATGGTATCAAGTTAACCGGCTGTTTCTGACGTAGTATCAAGTTAACCGGCTGTTTCTGACATAGTATCAAGTTAACTGGCTGTTTCTAGCCATTAGTTTTATCTCTTGCGCCAATCAGATCAGACCCCACAACCCACCGGATCTAGACGCCGGGGAAAAAACTGTGATTGCATCATTTACCTGTAACACTGTTATTTCACCTGCCTGCCAGTAGTTAACCCCCGTCTAGATGTGGGGGGTGGGGAGAAAGTGGACAACCCACCTATAATTAGATCACACGCACCGTGCTGTGACGGTCTGATGAACAGTTTTAATTCCCTGACACCAGGGACTCAGGAGGTGTTGATTCTTCTGTGTTTAAAAAACTTTGATTAGCGGCATATCAGGTTTCTTGCGCTACATAGTTGGCTCCAATGTAGAAATCAGACACGAGCATTAGGTCATCTTGGGTTGCTAGCCGGCATGTTGGCACACTTGCCGGCATGTTGTCACACTTGCCGGCATGTTGTCACACTTGCCGGCATGTTGCCATGAGATGATCTTGTTGCTAGCCGGCACATGGGCATAAGATTATCTTGTTGCTAGCCGGCACACGGGCATAAGATTATCTTGCTGCTAGCCGGCACACGGGCATAAGATTATCTTGTTGCTAGCCGGCACACGGGCATAAGATTATCTTGTTGCTAGCCGGCACACGGGCATAAGATTATCTTGTTGCTAGCCGGCATGCTGAAATACAAGAGGCATCATGTTCAGGTTACCATAGCAACGGAACTGAACATTAGACCTAGTTTAATTACATCAGGTTTCATTTTTCGTATACTTGTATTTTTTTAAATCATCTTGTATTTTAAAAATACTAAAAGTTGCAGTCAAGTAACTAAATGTACAGCCTTAATTTATATTGTATAAAATCTGCGATGTTTTATTTCATTACTGATAGTAATATATTTTCACAAAGTGCAGTATTCAAAATAAAGTGAAGTATCGTGGGTAAACGAGTTTATCGGCGTATGCGAGCTTTGAAACGTGATTTGTATACTACTGATGTGTATTGATTGTCGCCTAGTGTTGGACTTAGCGAACAATCAAGACAGAAACATGTCTTGTTATAAAGCAGTAAAATGTGTCTACAGTCTTGTTACCCAGACCAACACAGTTGTCTGATAAAAACGTTGATAATCCTTAAACAGACTTCAGAGTTATGTAACTTTGATAATTCCTGTGCAGAACCCCGCATCAAGTGACAATAGAAACTGTGATAAACCCTGTACAGAACCCCGCATCATGTACAATAGAAACTTTGATAAACCCTGTACAGAACCCCGCATCATGTGACAATACGAAAATTCTTTATTCATGGGCGACAAGAGGTCTCAGTTTCGAAGTCGGAGCTGGGGGGAGGTAGTCCCGCCCATGGGGGGTCTAGAGATCCCACCCCCGTTCAGGCTCAGGTGTTCCAGTACTGAAATTATTTTCTTGCCGTTTTGCAGGAGCGAGGAGCCAGCGGCCACCAACATGGACATTTCTACTGGCCACATTGTCCTGGTGAGTTTTTTTGTCCTCAAAATGTCGATGTTGTCCTGGTGAGTTTTTTAATTTGTCTTCAAAATGTCGAAGTTAAAATTGTGCATTGTCCTGGTGAGTTTTTTAAGTTTTCCTCAAAATGTCGATGTGATGTTTTTACATTGTCCTGGTGAGTTTTTTTAATTTGTCCTCAAAATGTCGATGTTGTCCTGGTGAGTTTTTAAATTTGTCCTCAAAATGTCGAAGTTAAAATTGTGCATTGTCCTGGTGAGTTTTTTAAGTTTTCCTCAAAATGTCGATGTTATGTTTGTACATTGTCCTGGTGAGTTTTTTAATGTGTCCTCAAAATGTGAGGTTCTGTATTTGTCCTCAAAATGTCAAAGCCATACCTGTACATTGTCCGGGTGAGGGTGAGTTTTTATATACTTCCTAAATAATGTCAATGCCTTATTTATAAATTGTCCCGGTAAGTTTATCGTCTTAGAAAATATCTATGAAAGTCTTTGTGCCCTGGTGAATTATTTTTGTTAGCTGTCTTCGACAAGTCCATGTTAATTGTGTACTGTTGTTCTACATAATTTTTTAACTGTATTTGTCATAGAAATGTTAAAGCCAGTCTCCCATTGCCCTGTAGAATTTATTGTATATGGTTGTAATGTCTACTTAAGTCTTGTATTATTGTCATTGCCTCATCTATTTATTATATTTGCTTATATATTGTCTTCAAAATGTCCATTAAATGTTGGATTATTGTCCTGAAATATTCAAACATTTTAGTTGTCATTTTTACATGAATGTATGTTAGTATTAGTAGTATTACCAGTCCCTTCGGTAAACTGTTGCTCAAATATTACCGTAAAAGACACAACAAAAGAAAAAGTTTATTATAAACGATAGAAGAATACTTCAGCTCAAAATGTCATTTTCTACGTAATACATTTCTTAGCAAAAGGTAAAACAAAAATACGTGAATATTTTTTACGTACCTTAACTCTTAACAGACTGAGGGTTTTAGTGATATTTTCAGTGTTCGGCAGTATGGTTGTAACTTTTGACCATAAGTATAGATTGAACATCAGCACACACATGTGTTATATATCATTGTGTAGGTATTTGATTTGTCTTTAATATTACTGAAGAGTTTTTAGGTGTTAACAATTGGTTTTAGTTTTGTAGCCTAAAATCTGATGGTTTAATTTTAAAAAAATAATTAAAAACTTTAAAATCAACAGTTCCTAAGAAGCAAAAAAATAATTGATAAGAGCTATTGAGTTAATATGTATATTTTATTGACTTACATCCATATATGTATAAATGTGACAATTTTGAATGCACTGTGCAAAGAAATGGATTTTTCACAAATTAATTGATCTTATGATGATCTTTACATGATTTGGACCTCTCCCCAAACATTTTTACTCTAAAAGTGGCAAACATAGGTTAACATGTAATCAAACACACACATAAGTCAATGTAATGAAATAATCAAATTGTAATATCTACAGTGCTTCTTATTACATTAAAAAAGATGCTTTTAATGATCTTCAATTAATAAATAATGCGAACACACATGATAACTAGACAAACAATTTCCTTCTTTTTGTAAACATAAAGTGTATCATATACACTTATCTACACTTAACTTATATTCTTTTAATATTGTTTTATCATACAATAACAATTTAAAAACCTCAATCTAATCTGATATAGTATGGTTCATGGAATGGTTGGAAAATAATGGTGGCTTACAAGCCAAAGAAACAGTATGGTTAAGTGAAATATTACCTAACTTTCCAACTAACTTTTAAAGAGTGTAATTGGCAATACCTTGTGGGAATTTTTTTTCCTAAGATATCTGGATTCTTTTCTCAATAATCTTGAAGTAAAATACAGAAATTAACTTTAGTTATATCTCAAAGGTGAAAAAATTTAGTTCTAGTACACTACTAGTACTTAATTGTTTACCGAAGGACATTACAGTTTTATAAACTGATCACTTCTATCCACCACATAAGCTAAACCATCTGGCCCACTGACCAGAATAATAAAATATAAAAAACAAAACCTTATGTGTAACCTCTCAATGATCAGCCAAAGCTCATAATTGCATACCCTACTGTTGGCTTATCCACAATCATAAGCATGATAATGTATTGTCAAGAAAAATATTCTTTCTAACCTTTGTCTTATCTATGGAAATATATAAAGCTACAACAATTTACTTTACTTAATTTTGATGTAGGTTGGGAGCATTATTTGTATAATATGTCCTCTGTATGTTCAGTATCTTGATAGTACATCTTTAAAAAAGCATGACACCTTTGAAAACTTGAGCCGCAGTCCATTGTAGAGCATAGAGTAAATTCTTGCTTCAGAATCTGTCACAATGAGTGTTGATAATCCCCAGAACGTATTATAAGTCCATAAAACCTGTAAGATTTAATCAGGTGTCGAATTAAATCATCCCGAGACAGAGAGGTGATCTGCGTCGCTTTACATATCCATTGGTAAATTGACATAATGTATGTCACAATATCCACTGAGTTTACAAACACAATAGGTTTGAGTAAACATATACTTCATTGTACTGTCTCCTGTCCTCATCTCAGCCAGCTGAATTCCTGGTTCTTTCTCAGGAGGTAACAGTCCCAGTTGATAAGGGATACCCATTCACTAATTTTTTTCCTTTATAAATTCTCAGTTCTGTTGAAAAGAAAAAATGGTAAATATTTAAAATATGGATTCTATTTAATATTTTCACATATAATAATTTCATCATAAATGTTAGGTGATTTATAATAAGTTAGTACAAGTTAGTACTGTTTGTAACAAAAGAAAACTGAGTTTTTATTACAGTCATGTATGATCAGCTGATTTGTGTTTACATTCTAGACGGTAGACAGTACTGCTACCAATTCTACTATTATTTAATAATTGTCATATACTATGAACTGAAACTAGGCTAGTTACATAGTAAAATGATTGGAGTGTTCTTTTAACTACACATTTATATCTAATTAATATCATTAAAAAGAAAAATTTATAAAAATCGCCAAAAAATTAGTAGGAAAAAAAACGATAAAAACTGAGTTACTTACGATGTGTAGAGAAAGAGTTCAAAATAGTGTTCAAAACTGTATTTTCATTATCTCCAGTGTCTAGGACATCAGTAAGGTCTTACACTTCTTCGTTACTTGAATCTAAATCATTTTCACGCAGATAATTAGAATCTAATTCCATTTTCCATGAGGTCTGACCGAGGATGAATGCAAAGTCGGCAAGATGGCGGCGTCTCGCCGATCACGCGATAGCATTAATTTTCGTACTCGAAAATATATAATAAGTTTAAAATTAATAATATTTTTTGCAGATTATGATTAATTCATCATTTATTTTGATATAAAATGCTATTGTGTTTAAAAAAAAACATGTTTATCACCATTTTTATGACCTCAAAGTCACATGACAATAATGGGACATAAACCAATCAATCGTTGGGTGGGAGTTAATTTGAAATACATTTTTTTTTCAAGTTCAAACCGTATTTCCAACTAATTTCTCCGCGGATTTTTATTTCAAAAGGATTAGGCTATCCCGGTAAAGACTTCTCAAAGAATAATTAATGAGACGTAATGTTCGCGTCATTTCACCTTTCTTTTACCGCAATCATCCCCCACCCCCCTTCTGTAATACCGGCATCCCCCCCTTTCCTGTTATACCAGCAACCCCCCCTATCATGTAATACCAGCATCGTCCGTCCCTTCTCCCCCCAGCTTGTAGCGGGCATCCATTGCAAACTCCCCCTCTCCCCCCTCCCCTCCTTGTAACACACTCCTAATGAGTCGAGTCCGCCATCTTTAATATCCTCTTTCGTTCTATAAAACCAATATCAAAATCACATGGGTTATTTTGAGAAACCTTCTCATGTCACCAATGAAACGCTAGATTTTTTTTTCAAATTTTAAATCTAGTCTGCTCGTAAAAATATATGGTAATAATGTTTGATGTGTAGGGGACGACGTGGCCCAGTGGTAGGGGTAAGATTCAGACAGTTTAGTGGTAGAGTTCAAACCCATACGGTTTTTTGCTTTGATCAAATCCAGAGGGTCAAGTGGTAAGGATCGAGTGCCAGTTCATGGAATCAAATCACAATGGTAGAGAGAAAGGTGGGATCTTGGTGGTCGTGTGGAAGATGTCTCTGCTTTGAATCGGTAATCAGGATCCGAACAGCTTAAAAACTGTACAGGGGTTTCTTTCGTGTCTAAAAGACAAATGATACAGCTCTGACCAGCTGATGTGTAGTGGAGAGTGAAGTAGCGACAATGGCAGTAATTTGGTAGCAGTAAAGGAACAACCAGTGTCTATGGCTGGTATTTTACAACCAGTGTCTACGACAGCGATGCGACAGTGACGTGACAGTGATGTTACATTAATGTGACAGTCATGTGACATTGATGTAACAACCAGTGTCTACGGCGGTGATGTGAAGGTGATGTCACAGTGATGTGACAGTGATGTAACAACCAGTGCCTACGACAGCAATGTGACATTGATGTGACGGTGATGTGACAACCAGTGTCTACGACAGCAATGTGACATTGATGTGACAGTGATGTGACAATCAGTGTCTACGACAGTGATGTGACATTGATGTGACAGTGATGTGACAATCAGTGTCTACGACAGTGATGTGACATTGATGTGACAGTGATGTAACAATCAGTGTCTACGACAGTGATGTGACATTGATGTGACAGTGATGTGACAATCAGTGTCTACGACAGTGATGTGACATTGATGTGACAGTGATGTGACAATCAGTGTCTACGACAGTGATGTGACATTGATGTGACAGTGATGTAACAATCAGTGTCTACGGCTGTGATGTGACAACGCCGCACCAGAACATGAGATCTACTTTTACCTCCATGACGCAAACAGAATAGCGTAACCCAAATGTGATATAATCTCTCCACTAACCAAATGTGATATAATCTCTCCACTAACCAAATGTGATATAATCTCTCCACTGCCACAAATGTGATATAATCTTCCCACTGCCACGAATGTTTCTAATTTATCAAACACTGTCATCTCAACGGTTCGATAAAAAAAATTATTAACAAAATTGCTCGGATTTTTTTAAATTTTTAAACTGTGATAGACAATATTGCTCGGAAATTAAAAAAATAAAATAAAGCAACGAAACAATTTTGTGGACGGCTGAAAGATGAGCACTTATCATTATGCTGTAGTCTCCTATTCGGTGTATCTCTTTTTACTTTCTCGTTTGCAATTTTATGGATATATATATATATATATATATATATATATATATATATATATATATATATATATATATATATATTTATATATTTATATATATATATATTTATTTATTTATTTATTTATTTATTTCTTTTATTTATTTATAAATATACATAATGTACACATATTGTAGCATATTTATGTATTTATATTCATATTTTATGTATCATTGTATATTTTGTATGAATAAATATTCAAATTATATATACATAGTATATATAGATATAAATATTTATTTATTTATTTATACGCATATCGTTTTCTGTAAAATATAATGATGTGTGTGCCCGTTTATTGATTGTTTACATTTACAAGACGGCTGTGTAAACCACTCTACGCCGGTCCACTTTTGGCTTGCCGTGATAAAAATCTGGCAAGAAACGCCGAGAGTTTATGAATATTTAATCCGTTCATTGGTAATCTCTCACACACCGAGGTCTGAGCACGGAGATCGCAGGAGACACACAGCATCGATCTTCTCAAATCTTGGGCTTTGGGCTCCTATTTCTAGTCATCGGGCTGGGTTTCAAAAGATTCGCTCCGTGTTTCATTAAAATACACTTTTTTTTTAACTTTTTGTTTGGTTTTTTTTAGCTGGTCTAATAACCCTGGTGTTAGTTTTTATATGTTAAATTACATTTTAATTTTTTTTTTAGTTTTGTAGAGCATGATGGGAGACGGGTCACGTGAGAGAGGTCAGGTGTATGAAACCGCTCGTGCGGAGAAATTAGTTTGAGTAATTTAATAAATAGCCGTGAATTAAAAACTTGGACGCCGTATATTTTCTTGTTGAAGCGAAGAATAGTGGGTTAAAAAGTGAATTAATTTTTAGTCGCAGGTGAATGACAACATATTGTTTTCCTCAACTTAGGAAAATAATTTGTTTTTAGTCGTGAGTGCAGATCATTAGGTGTTAATTTAGCTCTGTGTGTTTTTGTATTGAGCTTATATTAAAACAATTCATGTTTGTTTGTTTTTTTCGTTTAAATAGACAATTATAAGTCTCGTAATTTGTTGTGGTTGAACTCGATAATTATATATGCATTAAGAACATTCTGTTATATTGTAATCCAATATAGAAATATTATGTTATATATTAGACTTTTATAACTACATTATTTTCCTGTTTTTATAAAAGTTAATGTGTCATATATTTTTAAAAAGATTATATTCCGGTTCTGTAAAAGCTAATTGTGTGTCATATATATAGAACATCATATTCCGGTCCTACAAAAACTAATTGTGTGTAATATAAAGGACATTATATTCTGTTCCTACAAAAGCTAATAGTGTGTCATGTATAAAGGACATTATATATTCCGGTCCTACAAAAGTTGATTTTGTGTTCCAGTCCTACATGGAGGACCACCTGAAGAACCAGGACCGTCTGGACAGAGAGTGGGAGGCGGTCAGCAGCTACGTCGCTGACCCCTCCAGCACCAAGATGGCAACAGACCAATCCAACACACGCAAGAACCGGTTCGCTGACGTTCTGCCGTGTAAGTCTTCGTGTCGTCATCATCTGTGTGTGTCACGGTGTCAGGTCGCGTGTCATGTCAATGTGTCATTGTGTCACGCACGTCATCGTGTCACGTTAATTTGTCGTGTGTCACGGTGTCACGTCAATGTGTCATTGTGTCACGTCAATTTGTCATGTGTGCCATTGTGTCACGTCAATGTGTCTGTCATTGTGTCACGTCAATTTGTCATGTGTGTCATTGTGTCATGTCAATTTTTCATATGTCACGGTGTCGAGTCAATTTGTCATGTGTGTCAATTTGTCACGTCAATTTTTCATGTTTCATTGTGTCTTTTAGCTTTTACTGTATGTTATTTTGACAAGCCAATTATTCATCTGTCACATATTAGTGTGTCATGACAATATGTTGTGTATTATATTATAAATGCCTTCTGTCATATTCTCCTTACAAAACGCACCTTGCTATTGTGAATACAATTTGTCATTATCTACTCGGTGTTCTCAACCCAACGTCATTCCATCAGTCACTGTGTCTTGTCACAATGTGACACACAGTCCATTGTTTTTCAGAACTACAACATAAATAAATAATCAACTAGAATCTCCTCATTCAATAACCAACAATAGATGAATACAAACTACTAAACGAAAACTAAATAACCCCGCTATATCTTCACTAATCCCTATTTAGCCAGACGTAAAGATTACAAAATTGTGTTGAAATAGAAAGATAGAAATCAATTTCTAGAGAACTTAGGAAATCTTTTCGATACCACTATCCGGATTTCCGCGTGTGAGCTGGTCACTAAATAATAAAGCAAGAAATGTCACACAGAATAGTACTCGTAACATACGAATAGTTCGGGCGAAATAGGCAGTCTAAAATAGAATACTACGTTCTTTATGTTGGGTTACTTTTATGCAGTTTAAGCTTCTAATTTTGGTAAATGTGGTTTTCAATACTGCTGAAAGCATGCATATGTGAGATGTGTAGATATCAAAATGTAAAAATCCGTACTGATTTTAGATGTGATAATATTTTTCTTTTAATCGCTACCAATTTTAATTATAAATATTAAATTTATATATATATATATATATATATATATATATATATATATATATTTATATAAATATATATATATATATATATATATATATATATATATATATATATATATATATATATATATATATATATATATATATATATATATATATTTATATATATATATATATATATATATATATATATATATATATATATATATATATATATATATATATATATATATATATAGGCCTATATCAGAATATTTATTTTTTTTAAGTAAAGAAAGAGATTTAAAGATAGCTTCAGGTCGCGGCGAACTAATTTGCATATTAACTTATACGCAGTGGCTCCTTCATCTATCATTTAAACGACTTTTTTTTTTGGTAAATTGTTTGTCTACGCGATACTTACATCTTGTGTCCGCCATCTTGCTATCACCAAACGAGAATACACGAGAATGCATTCTCTGTTTAAAATGGTGCATTTGATTAAACGTCTGAAGAAAAAAAAACGAGGCGTCACAAATTGTAAAAATAATATTAAATTATCGTTGAACCTTTGCGCGATCACTTCCCAGAAAATTTAAATGTGATGACATCACTTCCTCCTTCTTAACACACTTGTGTCACATGGTAAAACGACAAGAAACAGATCTCAAAACCCATGGTGAAACGTCAAGAAAAATATCTCAACTAGCAAGTCAAGTCTTTACTTGGAGTAAATCAAATTCACATACGCTATCATGTTTTAAGTGGTTTTCAACAACTCCAAATCAAACATTATATGCCAGAGTTTTGACTTTGGGACAGTTTGGTGAAATTTTTAAAGTTTGATCACGGTGCAGATGACATAGTTTGACGTGCGTGTGTGTGGGGGGGGGGGGTATTGGGAGTGGCAGGGAATCTGGACATCTGGAAATACAGTAGACATGAACATAGGGGTTCTGCGTAGTCACTGATGTTGACGTCGTATGAGATGGGCTCGGTGTTACGCTGACGTATTAGGAGTAGAGTAAGCCAACGATGACGCCTTTGTTTAGGGACCGGAAATGTTGCTGACGTCATGTAGGTTGGAGGAGGGGGGCGATGTAAAAGCCTGAATTATATGTCTGGAACTGAATATTACAGGACCCGCGGGGTCGAAACCAACTCAGGGTACCCGGAAATGTGCAGGAAACCATATAGTATTTGGGAATGCATTACAGAAATCAAACATTACACAACACCAATCGATTGCCGAAAATCGATAAGGACCTGACGTTCGATCTTTACTGCCCAGCTTCACGCTTCTATACTAAAAGAAAAAAAATCACTAAATTATATCTTTCAGCTAATTAAAGAAGTTTTCCTCAGATGAAATATGAAATTCTTTGATTTCTCCATCGACGTCGAGATCAGCCTTTGAAGCGAGCCAGTGAAGTAAAGCGTCTAATTTACCTAAATTTCCCCGGTAAAATGTCCGTGTTTTCTACGCATACCGCCATTGATCGCAGACAGAAGGATCCGCCCCCCTCGTGACACAATTAGACAGCCCCGGATGTGGCTTCCATCTTGTACCGGAACTGGACGGCCGGGCTGGCATAACGTGGGTTCCGCGTCCCCCCAGCTTTGAGGTCTTTCATTAGACGGAGCCCGTCCCCGGTACCGGCTCTACTTTGACCACAATTACACCCCGATATCTGCCTCCGAAACAAAAGTCGGCTGGACACGGGTCAGTATTAGCACAAAGAGTCACACAGACGGTGCCAGAATTACGTAGCTACAGGGATTCCTGATTATTATCCAGTACTGACGGGAAGTCTGGTAGTCTCCCCCCCCCCTCCCTCCCCATCCTACCCCTATCACAGGAATCTAGCCAAAAGCCATCTTGTATTGGTGTTTCGGCTTTGTTAGCATAAATCTATAGCACAAATCAGACAAGGGTGGTGTATAAGGATAGCTGAAATGTGATTCTAAATCAATTTTTTTTTCGTGAAATGTTTGATTCGCCTGTTAGTTAGGGGACTGGAAATGTTACAAGTAGCTGGAGGCTTTGTCACAGGCTTAAAAGTCACCAGTAACTGAACCAGTCACCAGTTATTGAACACGATACTACTTATTAATGTCACCACTTAGTGAAGTCACCACTTAATGATTAAGTCACCAGTAACTCAACCAGTCACCAGTTATTTAACAAGACACTATTTATTTAAGTCACCACTTAGTGAAGGCACCAGTTAATGATTAAGTCACCAGTAACTCAACCAGTCACCACTTAATAAAGTCACCACTTATTGAAGACAACAGTCAATAATTAAGTCACCAGTAACTCAACCAGTCACCACTTACTAAAGTCACCACTTAGTGAAGACACCAGTTAATGATCAAGTCACCAGTAACTCAACCAGTCACCACTTACTAAAGTCACCACTTAGTGAAGACACCAGTTAATGATCAAGTCACCAGTAACTGAAAGACGACACAAATAATTTTATCCGTCAGCTGTAACTAAACTAGTCACCACTTACTGAAGGCACCAGTGATTGAACTAGTCACCAGTAACTAAACTAGTCACCACTTACTGAAGGCACCGGTGATTGAACAAGACACCGGTTAATGAGTTGGTCACCAGTTCATGAAAGATGACATACGTAGTTGTAAAGTTACCAGTAAATGTATCTCGTCACTCTATTTATTCACCAGCATTAAAAGCTACAATCTTCACAAAATGGCTATAGGCACCTTGTAATGTTGGATGGCCAGCTAGCATCATTGTTTACCTTCACGTTATAAGTATAGCTAATAGATGCTAAGCTTTGTGTGTGCCCCTATATATATATATATATATATATATATATATATATATATATATATATATATATATATATATATATATATATATATATATATATATAGATATAGATATAGATATAGATATATATATATATATATATATATATATATATATATATATATATATATATATATATACGCCATTCTTTTGTCGATGCGGATCTTATGATTATCAACTTTGATGCATCAAATATGTACCTTATCACCTACACATATAAATACAGTGTGTCACCCGCTCCATCTAACAACTCACCCGGTAACCTCAAATCGAACTTGATTGCCATTTAAATTTTCTTTTTTTGCCTCCATCTTTTCATCTTCGTTAAAGCAGGCATCAGATGATGGGTGGGGGGATCCCTGGCTCTACCCCCCCCTCTCTCTCTCTTTTAGAACTAACGTAATGATGCTGGCTGGCGGTTGCTATGACGGATAGGTGTGTCCGGGCGTGTCCCCGCGGTCACTGTGTCGCAGAGATTAAGCGAGTCGGACACATATGGCCGAGAAGGGGTTAACAGCATGACGTCAGACAGTGGGGTGGGCGGGGCAGAAACATAGAAATGTTGTTTTAGTGACGCCTGCGTTATGTTACCTCATTGAGTGAGATGATGAGGTACGCTGAGATAATAGATGTATTGTCTGACTTGTGTCCTGATACGATATGTCGTGAATACATCTAAACATGTCAAATTAAATTTTTCAATTTCGTCGCGATTTCTCGAGAAATGATCAACTCCGAGCGTTCAGGAGAGATTATATTCAAAGGTTAAAATGTTATTCGTTAACATAGTGACTCCCAATCTGAACTCTTTAGCTCCAAAGATTAAAATGTGTAAGAAATTCTCTAGCTCCAGAGGTTAACAGATGTCAGAATTTATTTTAGAGCTTCGTATTTAATGTACACGAAATTTCTTAGCTCTTGTGTCAACGGCATCTAGAAGTAAAATGTGTCCATAACATCTTTAGCTCGAGAGTTTAAAACGTGTCCAAGGCATCTTTAGCTCGAGAGTTTAAAATGTGTCAAAGACATCTTTAGCTCCGGCGTTTAAAACGTGTTCTAGACTTCTTTAGCTATAGAGTTTAAATGTGTCCAAGACATCTTTAGCTCCGGAGTTTAAAATATGTCCATGACATCAT